ATTAATCTGTTCCTCTAACTTAAAATTTACAATAAGAGTTTGTTCACAACACAAAATAAATAAATATAATTAAATCTAAGACAAAAAAATGAGAAACACAATATGAATTGAATTTGCTTTTGATTGAATTTAATTGCCAAATTTGAATTCAGTTTTATCGCATTCGCACGGAAAAGAATGAACGGCAGTTCCATGGTATGATAGCGATATACCTTGATCGAAAAAATTAAAAGTTTGAAAAATCATTTGAAGCGTAACTTAAGTAATAGTTTAATTATGCTAACATAACATAATAGATGGCAAAATAAATGTAATGGGAGCGAACCGCGTAACATTAATATTTTTCTTTTAGTTCTTCAAGCAGAAAGCTGTTGAGCTGATGCTTCAGAGTCGTAGCTAGGGTTTTCAGGGCCTGGGCGCTGTTGAAGATTTCACGCACTCTCCTATTTGCTAAGGGCAGATAGCCCTAGTGTGCTTTGCCATAATTAAATACACCACACCACACCACCTATTTGCTAAGAATAGAAAATATTTAATTTTAAAATTTTGAAACATCAGTTTGGCTTCCCCTGGATGCTGCGCCCAGGAAATGAAAATAAATGAATACAATACAGTACCAAAAGTATACACGAGATGCATTATTTTTCCGTAAGAACATGGGGACTTAAATTCCCCATTGGATGCTTTTTACTTCCCTGTACGAATTAAAGTATTGTGGTAGCGAAAAATGTCGAGTATCATATTTCAACGGAAATATCCATTTGAACGACACTTTTTTCCAGAGCGGATTATGAAATGTGTTCAAAATGGATTTTCTCGCGATGTCTGCACTTACGTATATATGTAATAGGGGGACCGGAAAGTAATGTCGTTTCTGCGCATGTCGACAACAACATACTAAGAGCAGAAGTGGAAGCAAATCCATATCAAACACTCTTAACCAATCTTGGTCGACCATCCAAGAACATTTAAAGCAAAATGGAAAAATAAGCAAAGCAGGTGTTTGAGTCCCACCATAATCTATCCGAAGAAACAAAGCCAACCGATCCATCACATGCAACGTATTGCTTCAACGGCACCATACAGAACCGTTTTGGATCATTTGATTACTGGAGACGAAAAATGGGTCCTATATGATAATCCAAAAAGCAAAAGGCAGATTTAATAGGGGTTACAAAGGGATTACATCCCAAAAAGGCGCTTCTATGTGTTTGGTGGAGTATTCGCAGAATTGTTCATTTTAAATTGCTGAAACCTGGACAAACTGTTAATGCAGATCTTTATTGTGAACAATTGGATCGAGTGAACCAAACTTTAATCGAAAAATATCCGGCGATTGTCAATAGAAAAGGCATCATTCTGCACGACGACAATGCAAGACCGCACTGTGCAAGGCTGGAAAAAGTGAATGCATTGGGTGGTGGTGGTGTATTTAATTATGGCAAAGCAGACTAGGGCTATCTGCCTAAGGGGAGGGATGCCTTCGTGGAGAACTTTCTAAGGAAAACTGGCTCGTATACACGTTACACATGGGAAAAACCACGAAAACACCCATACAGCCAGCCCGTTCGAGGGATTCGAACCTCGGACCGAACTACCAGTGTTCAGCGACTTTACCGCTCGGCCGCTGGTGGGCTGAGCGCCGCCTGAGATAACCACTGACCTAACTTTGTTGTAAAAGTCTTACAGTGTTAGTAGTCATCCTGGCAGAAGGGAAAATTTCCTCCGTGTAAAATATACATATAAATATTACGTGGGCATACAAGGCCTGTGAATAAGCATAGATATGTTGATTACAATCATTGTCTTGTACAAGTGACATATGACAGATACATAAAATCATGACAGCTATGTGTACATTTAGACATTATATGAATTCATATTTACAATACTTTTACTGAGATAATCAAAATTAAAACTGTATTCATTTACACATTGACTGGATTTTCAATATCATTTAAAACTGCTTTACAATATTATTTTATCAAGTACATATAAACTGGATAGTAATATGCTTACATTACAATAGTTTTGCTCTTACAGTCCTGTTTATTCTACGGGGTGAGCTATTTTCATAGTGTTGATGTTCAGTTGTTGTAGATTTTGAATTGCTATTAAATTATGCTGCGAAGATACAATTCTCAAGAGAGGGGGAGAATTTCTTAGAATCTTGCTGAGCAAAGCCTGATTACCTCCTATATTTTAGTTTTCGTCTGCTTGTTGCCGCGGGGGCTGAATGAATTGGGATGGGAGGTGCTGCATCACCCACTATACTCGCCTGATATCGTACACTCGGATTTCCATTTATTCCGATCCCTACAACATTTTCTTAGTTCCAAAAAATTTGAAAATTTGAATGATGTCCAAAATGCCATCTTGAGATATTTTACTAAAAAACCAACTGATTTATATCGGTCAGGGAATTGAAAATCTGCACACTAGATGGCAAAAGGTTGTTGATAACGAGGGTGATTACATTATTGATTAAAAGTAAAAATGTCTTAAAAATTTATTCGTGTGAATTTAATGTAAGAAAGCGACATTACTTTACGGTCCCCCCTATTATGTATGTACGTATCTCGCATAGCGCAACAATGATTATCCGTAGAACGTTGAAATTTTGCATAAGAGACTGCTATAACATCTAATCCCTCCCTTTTCTACCATTATATTACTACTGCTTTATTATTGTATTTATTTTGTACTCCATCGTCTATATTGAAAAAAATCTAAATGATAATAATAAAATTTTGCCGTAGCTTTATGGACCGCAAGAAAGTTTCTATACATTACTTTTTTAAAATTGTAGTGTAATGTTTTATATTTTGACACCTTGCTACTTTATACCAGATTAATTTATGCTCAGAAAATAAATGCCGAAACAAAGTTTTTAAAAGGGAAATTCGTTTTAAGTTGAATAAGTGTAAAGATTTAGTTTTATGATTTTTATTTCGTAATTCAAGAGTAAAGATTTAATTTTATGAATTGGCAACATTAGACGATAGTTTTATTTAAGACGACATACGTTTTGCATAATTTCAGTGGTTTGTATTTCTTTTATTCAGTTTCTTCTTTGACTGCTATATATTATTAACGCTGTATGTTGCTAATATATATCTCTTTTCTGCTTTCATGAGAGCCTTTATCTTCTAAAAAGGTTTGTTTTCAAATTGTGCACTTGAATGGTGCAATGTTTAAAATTGTTTCAATTTCCTGTAAAAAAATGAAATTACGAACTCTTGAAAAAGCATTTTATAGCACGATTTCCCTCCGAAGTGTGAATAATATTTTTCAAATAAAACTGTTCTCTTCTACGACGCGAGCTGCATTTAAAAGATCAATGAATCGCATAAGGCGAGACCAATGCCATGTTTAGATATTTGCCATGGCACCGGCAAAGACAATCAGATTGGCAAAGTTCGGTTATTTATCATTGCAAAAACGAGTATTAGCCTATAAGGTACACTGAAGTTACAAAAGTCATGGGATAGCAAAATACAAATATACAGATGGCAGTAGTATCGCGTAGAAAATGTATAAAAGCGAAGTGCTTTGGCAGGGCGTTCATTTGTGTTCAGGTTATTCATGTGAAGAGGCTTTGACGTGATTATGGCCGCACGACAAGAAGTAACAGACTTTGAACGCGGAACGGTAGTTGGAGCTAGACGCATGGGTCATTCCATTTCGGATATCGTTAGGGAATTCAACATTCCGAGATCCACAGTGTCAAGAGTGTGCCGAGAGTATCTAATTTCAGGCATAACATCCCACCATGGACAGCGCAGTGGCCGACCACCTGCACTTAACGACCGAGACCAGCGACGTCTGCGTAGAGCTGTCAATGTTCACAGACAAGCAACACTGCGTCAAATAACAGCAGAAATCAATGTGGGACGTACGAGGGACGTATCCGATAGGACAGTGCGGCGAAATTTGTCTTCCTTGGGCTATGCCAGCAGAAGACCGACTCGAGTGCCTTTACAGACAGCACCACATCGCCTGCAGCGACTCTCGTGTGCTCCTGAGCATATCGGTTGGTCCCTAAACGAATGGAAAACCGTGGCTTGGTCAGATGAGTCACGATTTCAGTTGGTAAGAGCTGATGGTAGGGTTCGAGTGTGGCCAAGACCCCACGAAGCCAGGACCCAAGTTGTCAACAGGCACTGTTCAAGCTGGTGGTGGTTCCATAATGGTCTGGCTGTTTTTACATGGCATGGACTCGGTCCTCTGGTGCAAGTGAACCGATCATTGACTGGAAATGGATACCTTCAGCTATTTGGAGATCACTTACAGCCATTCATGGACTTCACGTACTCGAACAACGATGGGAATTTTGTGGATGACAATGCGCCATGTCACCGGGCCACAATTGTTCGCGATTGGTTAGAAGAACATTCTGGACAATTCCAGCGAATGATCTGGCCACCTAGATCGCCCGACATGAATCCCATCGAACATTTATGGGACATCGTCGAGAGGTCAGTTCGTGCCCGAAACCCTGCATCGTCAACACTTTCACAATTATGGACGTCTATAGAGGCAGCATGGCTCAATATTCCTGCAGGGGACTTCCAACGACTTGTTGAGTCCATAACACGTCGAGTTGTTGCACTTCGCCGGGCAAAAGGAGAACCGACAAAATATTAGGAGGTATGCCATGACTTTTGTCACTTCAGTGTGTATCCCCCGCCTTTAAAGGTAAAGTTACGACATCTGAACTTTTCAGCGATTAGTATAAAACATAAAACTATGGAGAAATTACTCTATAATAGTACATCGGTTGAAAAAAATTCTAATTCTGTATATATTATTGCCTGCATCAAAACTAAATTCAAACGTTGTTGAAAAAATTTATATTTTAATCCTCTGCATGTAGTTTTTTAGCTCCCAGAGATGCTATTAGTCTCAAAACTCGCTTTTTATGTCGGATTTGTTAGGCATTTTATATAATATTATAATTTAGATTATGAGAGTAATTGTAGATTACTTTATCTTTGCAGGATTTTCGAAAGAATCGTATATTTCTGCTCCACTTTCATGGATCTTATACCTCTCTCATTCATGCTGGGTTTCTACGTATCCTTTATCGCTGCCAGGTGGTGGAGTCAATTCACAGCGATTCCTTGGCCCGATAAGTAGGTAACACTATCTCATTGTTATAGATTCATAAAAAGTTCCGCTTGTATGTTTCTTTTTATTACATTTTATTAAGTCTTCGTTGATGATTTTGTGTGGATATAGATATTTAAACTAAATCCACTGATATCGTTTGCTTTGTGGGGGTGCAGCAGAAGCAACTCATTTTTCCGATGTTTGAGATTCAAATCACAAGTAGTATGGTTTATAATGGCTGCGCGGATAAAGGCACTTAAATATAGGTAAATAGTAGCATATCTATGTTAGCTCTCTCCTGTGCTTGGTGACAAGGAAGAGGGTTGAGTTCCACAAGTACCAATTTCTGAGGCTCGCGGTGTAAAAATTTCTTACCCTCAACAATGACACCGCAGTTTGTTACCGACTTCAGAAATAGAATAATTGCTCTTCAAACAGAATAATTGCTCTTATCCGTAATCTTTCAGGGGTTTGTTTGTTTGGAGGTGGGATATGACAATAATAGTTCCTGTTGGCGACATTATGATGGGCTGTGCAGTTTGTGTATGATACATGTGCAGTTCGCACTTTCATTACAGGTCAGATTAAGGGGACTCCTACACCTTAAGGGGACATAAGATGTTCGAATAGGTGACTGTTGCAAGAATTGGAATAACTTATTTATTTTAAAAGCAATTACTACCAAATTTTTACAGCTGTGTACATAATATAGCTGCTTTCTGAAATAGTAATCAGAAAGTTTGTGTTGCCACAAAGATTTTTATAATTGAATCCGCTTTGTGACAACATTTTTCGTCATGTTTCCAACTTGCGCGCACGGTTTAAAATATTATGTTTCATAATTTAATTTCGTATTTAATATATAGCTTTTATAGCATTTGGAAACTGCTGTGAAACTAAAATTCTAAAAATTTCGTGTTAAATTTTTATTTTATTTGGAGTTGAGTTTATAAAATGTATTTTATTAAAAAAAATTTGTAATATTTTCGTCCATAAAATTTTTCAATATTAAAATATTCATCAGATTGTTGGTTCAGTTAGAAAATAGTGCCCATATAAAGAATTACATCCAATTTCAAGTATATACCATTAGCCATTTTTAAAATATCATGCGCGCAAGGTGGAAACATGGCGAAATATTTTGTCACAAAGAGGATTAAATTACAAAAATATTTGAGGCAACACAAACTTTCTGGTCACTAGTTTCCAAAGCAGGTATATTATGTAGACAACTGTATAAAGTTGGAAGTAATTGCTTTTAAAATAAATAAAATATCCAAATTCTTGCAACAGTCACATATTCGAAGATCATGAGGTGTTTAACGTGTATGAGTCCCCTTAAGCAATAAAAAAAAAGCCGCAATTGGTCCGTAGCCCACCTCTGTTCTTAATTATCATTTGGTAAGTTTCTAAAATTTGTTTAAAAAAATTAGTCCTAAAACTTCTTAAACTCACTCTATACATGCAGTTTGCATACAAGAGTATCGACTTAGGAATTTTCACAAATATTCCTATTTTTGGTAAAATTTTCTTTATTTGAAATCCTTCATTTGTTATGAAGAATATGGCCTCTTATCGATTCCAAAGAATCTCTTAATAATACAATCAAAACCACTCTGAGAACTGTTCAAGGATGCAATAGATAAATGAATAATTACAAAAGTACATAGGTATCTAGAATTGAAGGCAATAACGGAAATGATCACTCTATATTGTCTCTAGAATGAGAAAATACGACAACCGCATTGTGTTCAGAATGGCATTACAAGGGATGCTGTAATTCTACACAAAATTCTGAATGCCCAGTATCAAGTTACGTGACAAAAATGTATTCTAGATTCTGATACTCTTTTGCAAAAGAGACAAACAAGATACCCATATTTTCAGTCGACTGATGACTGTGCATTCAAGGTCTTACTCTGAATAGCAGACAATGGCACAGTCAAATTTGGATTACGCCCAGATTCTTCTAAAGAGCTAAGTCTAAGAAACAATTAATAACGTTTTATGCTATTCTTATATTTGTTCATTCAAGTAATAATTGAACTGCTTTCCATTACCGTCAGTATATGTTAAGTTCGTAACAAATTCATCAGTACGGTGTCAGGAAGGTATCTTATTCATGGCTTATTTTGTTAAGCAAATCAAATAATTATGGTTGATAAGAGAAAGATGTTTTTAACGAACCGGAAAATTAAAAACGAAAAGATGCAAAGAATAACAGTAATTTGCCATTCATCGAATGATCTTAAAAAGACTACAGACGCATTATCAGAATTCTCTGATATGTTGAATTTAGATTTCCCTTTATAAACATTAACGCAGACTGTATTGGATCATATTATTCAGATTATGAAAAAGCAGACGAGACACTTTGCTGACACGAACGCAGAAAAAAGCAATATATATATTAATTGAACGTCTTAACTTATAAGGTATTTCTCCCACTTACCTAGCGTGCCTTCGTGGTGCAGTGGTTTTGCATGCTGGGCCAGTATTCCAGAGGTCCGTGGTTCGATTCCCAGCGAAAACAATTGCTCATTTTTCATCTTGCCTGCTTCCCAAAAAGTCCTAATATCTCTACAGGGGCGCCCGAACTGAAAGGGTGTTGGATGAGGTTTCTCTACACCCAGGATTTGGCGATTGGGTAACCTAAAAACCACAGTTGCCCTTTAAAAAGGGGAGTATATAAGGTATTCCTCCCGCTTCCCTAGCGTGCCTTCGTGGTGTAGTGGTTCTGCACGCTGGGCCGGTATTCCAGAGGTCCGTGGTTCGATTCCTGGCGAAGGAGGTTGCTCATTTTTCATCTTGCCTACTTCCGAAATAAACCTAATGTCTTTACAAACTCACTGAAGTTTATTGTACAAAATACTGAAGTTTATAGATAAACAGATAGATAAGATAAGAGATTATTGGTACTATTTTATGACAATAAATGGTATTAATACTTATGATGTTTTTAATATGTTCCGTCTAAATGCCCCAATGTTTAACTGTAATCTATAGTTGCATCAGACCTTTTAGAACATGATCGATCTCGCAAAATATTTATGTCACTTAGTCTGACAAGACATCTATTCAGAAACCTCACAGTGCAGCGTACAATCGTCTTCTCATAATTCTTTTCAACACTCAAAAAGGGCTAAAACCCTGTGAGAAAATTCTGCAGAGATTTATGTCTATATAGCAAAATATTTACCCACTGTACCATTACAAAATTTTTACCACATTTCCACCTGTTAAATTTCCTTATAATTCCGCTGTTGTCTGCAGTGTATGGCTGAAGTCACTATATCGAGATGCGGTACGTTATTTATGTCATATAATGTTTTATAACATCTGACAAAATGATAAACCTAAGTTATCGGATTAACAGGCAGAACTAACTTTTGGTTTTGGATTCAAGAGGAAATTTTTAGGTAACATTTTTAGATTCACAATGCATCTTTTTTTAACCATTAGAAGTGTAAGTTTGCTAACGTTTCAGCAGTCAATTGCCACGATATTACCACCAATTTTCTTAGGAAATTACCCTTCATTTGTCGAAACTACTTTTAAAAATTTTTCTTCTAATTTTTTTTATAAAAAAATTTCAAAACTTGTTTTTCTTTCTCAATGTATTATAAATAAATCTACATTTCATTTAAGGCAACTAGTTTTTTCTGTCTTCTGCATTCAAAAATGTCTCATAATGACATTTTGTAATCAATGATCAATTCGGCGTTTCTCAAGCAACGGATGTATACTATATTTAAAGGGTTTTAAGGTCTCAATATATAATTCTCTGAACATGTTTTAATACATCTCACTTAAATCTCTGCAGTGAAATAATGTTTTTAAGAGCCACTGATAAATGTTTGAATGTTGAGTTGTTTATTTATTTACTTATTTGTTTGGATAAGGTTTTTCGATATCAATTCCTTTAAAGACGAAATATTCGATTTTCGTATCTGACATTTACTTACAGAACGTACTCAAAAATTACATATACGAAATCTGATAAGTTTTAGACAGAATCTTAAAAACTGCTCGTATGAAATATGAAATTGTAAATTTCACGACGATTTACACAATATCAAAATAATTTTTGGCTTAAGAGAATTGAATCAAACGTGTTATATAGTCTAAAAAATTGCTGAAAATAATAATTTATAAAATTTAAATTATGTATTATGAACCATAACCAGATATTATAACGAATAAAATAATTTGTAATGGGCTTTAAATAACGAACTTAAAAACCGCTCCATGTAAGCAGTTTGAGGTCTAAACACAAGAGTTTTTGGTGATTTCACAAACCTATTACTTTCTTTGCTCTTAGAAGATGAAAACAGACTTATAAGGTAATAAATAACCTTATAATAGGACCTTATAATAGGAAGATAAACAGATTCTTAATTTCTAAAGAACCAGTGGTTATGAACTTAACTGGCAAACATTTCTAAGGTATTTCTTCGGCCTTCTTAGCGTGCCTTCGTGGTGTAGTGGTCAGCACGCTCGGTAGGTATTCGAGAGGTCCGTGGTTCGATTCCCGGCGATGGCATTGCTCTTTTTTCCTATTTCCTGCTTCGAAATAACTTAAATGTCTCTACAGTGGCGCCCGAACTAAAAGGTGGTGAATGACGATTCTCCCCCTTAATGGCCGACTGAGGGGTACCTTAATCCCCAGTCGCCCTTTAAAAGGGGGAGTATATAAGGTATTTATCCCGCCTTTTTAGCATGGCTTCGTGGTGTAGTGGTCAGCACGCTCAGCGCGTGTTCGAGAGGTCCGTGGTTCGAGTCTCGGCGAGGGAACTCTTCATTTTTCATGTCTCCTGCTTCGAAATAACCTAATGTCTGTACACATTTAGGTTCAACTTGAACTCAGTAGACCTCCATGAATGTACGAAGGAAAAAAATGAGGAACGAAAGGATTTCGATAGTGTTTGGAAGCACGACCCTTTTAACCTTCGAGAAAATACTTTATGTATGGATAGCAGACTTTCTGCAGACTACCCTCAGAAGTATTATTTGGCACTCATTC